TTACAGTTATTCCATCTTTCAATGCAGTGGTGTCATTAGAAGTTCAAAATTCATTGTTTAAATTTTGAACCAGCCTTTTGTGTTGACTTCATACCTCCTATCGTAGCATTTGGGGCTATAATAGGATGCCTAGATCTGTTTTTATTTTTATTTTTTTTGCCCTGTCGCTTCATATTTTTCCTGAAAAAATCCGAGAACCAACAAATTAAATTGGTGTGGCCTAAATACATGTATTAGCAAACTGTCAATGATCAGATTGTGTCACATACCCTTGTCGGGAGCACAGGGTTAACATGTGTTAGTTTTCTAACTCTTACAGAAAATGAGTTACAAAATAATAATTTTCACATACAGTAAAAAAAAAGGATTATTGTTACACACATAAGTCAACGTTCCAAATTTCTATCCCATTACAGGTCAGTTGGATCCAGATTTGGGATCTTATGTACACCAGTTATGCGACAAATACAAGAGAGAACATCCGGGTTCTTTCAGAAAGGCAGTACAAGTAAGAATTTGTATTTATCATTTTACCATTATAACGGGGGGGGGGTACCTATCCTCCGGGGAAATTTTCTACTTACACGTATTAATTGCTCACAAATGCAGCCCTCCTTTACTCATCTTCTCTCAACCAATTGATTGTAATACATAATTTACAGTTTTGAAAGTTAGGTAACAGTGAAATAATACATTGCATTTTGCATCAATATTTTGCCAAACAACTCAGCAGTGGCAAAATATGTTTCCTAAAAAGAGGGTTAATGGAAAAAGGAGTCCAGTCTGATTGGCGGAAAAAGCAGTCCAGTCTGATTTTGGGGTGGAAAAAGCAGTCCGGTGGTTTGTACGAAATTTTATGAAAGACCATAGGCACAATTTTTTCTTGTGTGTGTACTTCTAGTTTCTATGGGTACTTCGAGTTTCTATGAGTACTTCGAGTTTCTATGGGTACTTCGAGTTTCTATGACTATTTAGAGTTTGTATGGGAACTTGAATTAGCATATATGTGACTCACTACTAGTATATGCCGCCTTAACCCGTAATTCAGGCAGCCTTGGGTGAGGAATAGCGGACAACCGATTTACACCTCTTGGGACCACCGAAAAGTAGTTTCTATACATACAGGTCACCTATCCACAATAAACAAAAGTTAATTATTAAGGGATTCTTTCTTACAATTGTACTTCCGGTACTTACATGCTTGTCGGTGTAATGCAAAGTCTGCCATACGTGACTTTAGCAGGGGCCGGCTGGATGTTGGGCAGCTGGTAACCGTAAAGCGATTTAATCAGGCTACTTGAAAGCAGGATCGGCCCTGGAAATCTCGTCAGTTGGCAGCTTCTTCTTTTGACTAATTATTATTACTTATAAGTAAGTAATAAACCGGAGGCATGATGATGATATGTATGTTATGATGATGACATGTATGTTACAAACTCTAAGTTCCCATGCAAACTCTAAGTACTCATAGAAACTCTAAGTTCCCATACAAACTCTTAGTACTCATACTATAGTCATAGAACCTCTAAGTACCCATAGAAACTCGAAGTACTCATAGAAACTCGAAGTACTCATAGAAACTCGAAGTACCCATAGAAACTAGAAGTACACACACAAGAAAAAATTGTGCCTATGGTCTTTCGTAAAATTTCGTAGAAACCACCGGACTGCTTTTTCCACCTCAAAATCGGACTGGACTGCTTTTTCCGCCAATCGGACTGGACTCCTTTTTCCATTAACCCCGTAACAAGATTACCTTGAATATTCATTATTTTGTTGCAAACCTAGATCATTGGAAAACAACCGCAGGACAACATCTGGGTGCTCAACGAGAGTGTGCAGGTGAATGCAGACGGGGAGGCTATCAGGCCTGAGGACCAAAAGTATGCCATCATAGATGGTCACCTCAGCAGACATTACTTGGAAGTTAAAGGTTAGACTGTTTCTACGTACCATATCAAACAAAACAATTTTTTACCCAAATGGACTTTGAGGAAAGATGGAGTCTGATTGGGGAATGAATGACAGTGTGGATGGATGAATGAATGAGTGAATGAATAAGAAAACATTAAATCAACTCAACTTGGGTATTGAAATTGCTACCCCCAATTATTCGGTACTGTCATGCATTACGTAACTGTAATTCAGACATCATTTAAACCATTACATGGGTTGAACAGCTTAGAATGATCATGATTATTCTATTAGAATGCTAACAAAAACTCTCCTCATTTGTTGCTTTACCTGCACACAAGATGTAAAACAGCTTTTGACTTTTATTTGAACCATGAAGAACTGCACAATATTCTGAGCAAGTTAGGTAACCAGGCAAATTTTGTTTAAAAAATATAAAGCACACTTCTTTATGGAATGAAATTGTTAACTGTCTTGACATGAATCAATTCTTCAGAATCAAAGAAAATACATGTATTATGTTAAAATAAATTAAATCATTTCTATTGGGGTGAATTTTGTGTGGAAGGACAGAAAACATCATTCTTGCCCCCCCCCCCCCAACACACATCCTTTCAAGATTTTCAATGATATTCATTTCATAATTAATTATCTTATTAATGTCAAGGCCTTGCATTCTTGTCTTTGAAGGACTTGCGTTCTTGTCTGACATTGTTGATCTTCACATCTTAACTTCATACAGCGTCTTAAGATTTGGGTTTTGCATTGTAATGTCTGTATTCTAATAGTAAAGCAAGTGGTCACTAATATTTATACTTTCTTCTTTTGCTTCAGACTTGGACAATGGTGAGGGACTCAGGAGGCTGCTGCATGCCATGAAAAACCTCCTGACTGCCAACTTCTCTGCCGGGCTTGTAGTGGTGTCGGGGATGGTTGCCTCCGTACTCTATGAAACCTTCGTGGCCATTAGTCCGGATGGGACATGTCCCGTGGTCGTTGCATTGGGCGAGTCATGCTGTGGGAAAACCACAGCACTAAAATGTGCCCAAATGCTAACAGGAACTACTGAGATATACCATGGTAAGATTTGACATCTTAGGTTGATGTGATCATGTTGATTAATTGATTGTCTGTGACAGCGTTCTTTTTTCACATACACTTATCCACTTTTTAATGTTATGATAGTTGACATATAATTGTTGCTTCTTCTGCAGAGCTGACTGCGGCCAAGGCCAGTGATGTTCAAGAAAACACGACGATGGGGTTTGCATGGGACGACCCAGAGAATCTTAAAGTGGTGGAAGAAGTGACCGTTTCGTGCTACAATCAGGTCAGTAAGTCCACATCCATCCTAACAGTGTCCAGGAGAGGACTTATTATAATAACATACATGTAGCTAATCTGTATCCTCCTCTCCTTTTATGTCTAATGTAGCCAATTAAACAATTTTCCGAAGCAATTCAATTTATGTAATATATTCCAAGGCAAATGTATCCTCTATACCGACCACGTTTTTCATAAAAGAAAACAATATTACTCTTGGTGCAAATGAGAATATGGACCATTTTGATCCATACTGATGGCCGCTGGCATTACATATTAACCCTGGATGTTTTAAAAACAAAACTTCTTTACCCGACATTCACTCATTCCTATTAAAAATATAAAATGAGTCAAGTGTCCTCCTGCTTTCTCCCATGTTCTGCTTTATTCCTTATTATGACATGCTTTCTTCCACATTCTCGGAGGCTGCTTTCTCTCATGTTCTGAGACAATTGCTTTCTCTGATGTTCTGCCGCTTTCTCCCACTGATGTTCTCTGATGCTTTCTCCTGATGAATGTTCTGCTTTCTCCCATGTTCTTGACTACTGCTTTCTCCCAGTGGATATTCTGCTTATCGTGTCCTCCTCATCTTTCTCCCACAATCTCCTAACTCATGTTTTCCTGCTTTCTCCCATGTAATCTCCTATTTAGTCCTTAAAGTAATACTTCAGTTAAAATGTTTTAGTGAAATGGCTTTATTTGTCTAACAGATGCTAAGGGGGACTATAAAGAAAAGCAGGAAGCCACGCTGCATGCCTGTCATCACCACCAATCTGAAGGGGGACAAGGTCAGGTAAGAACACCTGTCACTGTCATAATATTGTATATTCTGTATCATCTGTACCTACATTGTGAGTGGGGTTTCATTGTGGGGTAACAGTTAACATAACTCATGAGATGCCAGTAATCGTATGGTTTGATAATGTTACATTGAAAATCTGGGTATAGACTGAATACTTGAATCTTTTAAAAACTGGCCATTGTGCAAATCTGTCTGCCTTAAAGTTTCTTCTATTCAGGGCTTAGGCCATATTTACACGGGCAAATTTTGTCCTACAAAGGTAGATGTGTCGCATGCTGTAGGACAGATTTATTGACGGGTTGGTGGAAAAACCTGTCCAGTCTGGACTGGTCTAGGGGGTGGAAAAACCTGTCCAGTCTGAATAAAGGGTCTGCATGGGGGTTCCTGGTAATGGGTAATGCAGCAGGATTGACAACATTGCCAACATTTAGCCCCTAATCACCAAGCTGATTGTTTTTATTAGCCTTTCAAAATTTACTGTATTTCTGCTTGGAGATTATGCTTAGAGGTGGAGGATTGTCCAAAAACTTCTGGGATAAATTACAGTAAGGTTAACAAGATACATGTAGGTTAACCCATGAAGTTATATTCAATATTTCTTTGAGAAGTAAAAAAAATTCTGAGCACATATTACAGTTATATAGAGAATCATTTGTCGCTAGCCTGGGTACCATCCTACTTGTATGCCGGGGCTCCCACACTCGCTTCCCTAAGCGAGTGTGGGAGCCCCGGCATACAAGTAGGATGGTACCCAGGCTAATTTGTCGCCAGCTGGCAAACTCAATCAATGGTTTCAAGTTTTATGCTATGTCATCCCTGCAATTCGTCTTAGCAATTTACATGTATGATCAAGGACATAATTGATATTGACCAGGTAAAATGGTCTAAAGGAACATTTTAATATATAATATTATGTACTAGTATGACTATATTAGTAATCACTTTTGGTGCCTACTTGGAAATCTTACAACCCAGAAAATTAAGGCATGGCACTGGCCAGACAATCTCTTACAACATGCCCGTAGCCAGGGGGGGTTCGGGGGTTCGGAAGAACCCCCCCACAAGGCTCAAAGGTCCACTTTTTGGTCCACTTTTTATGTAAAGGTCCACTTTTTGGTCCACATTTTATGTAAAGGTCCACTTTTTGGTCCACATTTTATGTAAAGGTCCAAGTTTTTTCTTGAAAAGATGGATCGTAGAAATACTGCTCTCTTCGTCATTGAATAAAAATTTATCTCTGATTTTCTCTTGGAAATCCTCTCAAAAATGCACGAAATGCCATTTTAGAAGGTTCATTTTTCAAAATTTTCCGGGGGAGCATGCCCCCGGACCCCCCTAGGAACCTCGCGCCTACGGCGCTCGAGGTCCACTCAAGCAGTGGGACGAACCCCCCCATTCAAAATCCTGGCTACGGGCATGTACAATGTACGTTACCAGCATTCAGACTTTGTGAGCCTGTGGGCAAGGACATACACCAACCTATATGTCCTTAGCCTGTGTCCCCTTTTCATGTGCAGCCACACATTCACGTCATCCATTGTCTCAACATAGCAGTGTCTTGAATAGCGGCTATTTGGGCTTTCTATCAAAATTAAGCCTAGACCCCATGCAGACCCTTTTATCAGACTGGACAGGTTTTTCCACCCCCTAGACCAGTCCAGACTGGACAAGTTTTTCCACCAACCCTTTATTGACTGTGTCAACAGGCCCAAAACTGCCACATGGCAATTCTCATGTGGCATATCCAGGATGAAACACGCAGTAGTTTTGGGCCTGTTTGCATGCTCAAAAAACCTGTTGTACCACATGTGCTGCAGGACACATGAAATTGTATTTTTTGCCCATGTAAATGGGGCCAAAGACAGTTGGGTGTTTATGAGTTCTTGTAGTTCTTATAATGCTTATGGGCTTAATTGACCATTCGAACTGCTCAGGGGAATTTGGTCACAGCGGGAGCTCTGCCTTATTGTTCTTGAACAGCCCTGGGTAATAATAGATACTGGTGTCTACATATTTTACTGACAATTGAGTTGATGACCATTTATTTCTGTGGGATTTAAGGTCTTGGACAGGTCATGCTAAATGCATCTTCAACTACTTCATTCTGGCAAAAAATGTTTGTGATAGCTGTTACAGTAGCTTTTTTATTTTATAGAATATTCTCCAGGATGGTCAATGCAACATTTGATCCAGTGGCCAACCACAAGTTGCCAAACAAAGAAAGAGTGCGGCTGGAGTACGAGCTGAAGGCTGCGAAGACGACAGCCAGCCGCAGTATCGGAAAGATCATCTCCCTGCGCAAGGAGCTAGTTGGGGTGGATGCCGAGGGTAACTTGGTACCCACAGAAACCTTCTTGGAGGAGATGGAGGGATATGTTGAAAAGTTTGAGGAAATCATGCCGACTGATGAGGGCAGGTCGGCTCGTAACTATGCTACTATAGCATGGATCGCAATGAGGGTATGGAAATATGCATTATTTTTGCTGCGACTTTCTAATACAGTAGTTCAAGTCGCTTAGTTTGAGGTTGTATGCTTTACATTGATATAGAACGCTACCAAGGAGACTCATGTAACCCAAGAAGAGACGTTGATGAACTTTATTATTCGTTACCGTTGTAATAACTTGAGTGATTTATTTTTGTATTTCACTCTATACCATGGTGAAAAATGTATTGATGAATAGAGCGTTTTCTCTGATGTGTAATTTCTTCTTCCTCTTCTCATTTTCATCATTTGGTCAAATGGATTCAACTCTGTCATTCCTCAGGCAAATAATCTGATCTTTGGCATGGACATAGCATCATTATGCCTGTTTCTTTTTCGACACAGATATTTTATAGATTCTCTTGTATTTTCACATTGAAATTAACTAAAGGGTTCTGATGCTCCAATTATATTGAACTTCTAAACAGCGATGATCCCAAGCCAGGTTTGCAATATAAATAGTGAATTTTTCATCTCTTAATTCACCTAAAACCCTTAGGACTGACTGTGAGTGGTAATCACCTCATATCATGTTGGTTCGGTTACATGCTGCATAAATATATCAATAAAACAGTCCAGGAAGATTTGACAATTGTGACCTAAGTGTCTACTAATGAGGCTTCTCCATTCCATTCCATATAGTTATATACTACAGTTCATTCCCTATCCAGCAGCAGTGCCGTGCAACCCCCAAAGATCATTTTAAAAAAGCAATGCAAACAAAAGGTATTGATGCCAAGAAAATACAACATGATATAGGCTTAACTGAATGTGGATGTTATAATTAACAACTGTTACATTATTCCCGTTACAGTTGCTGAAGATGGCAGGCATGGGTGAGGAGGAGGAGGAGGCCTTCTGGGCTTATGTCACAGAGAAAATGGGGCCCCAGTATGCCACCATGCAGCAGCGTGCTGGGGTGCCAGGTACTTCCCATGCAAGTGGACCTGCCAGTGGGCCTCACAGCAACTGGCTGAAGGATGTTTTCGCAGCACTTCAGACCATAGATCAGTTGGAGGTTAGTAATGGAGAGCATATTATTCACATTTATGTCAAAGTAAAATTTGTATTTCTCACAGTGTTTTTTTATTGTATGCAGTTAATATTTAGAAAAAGACAGGCAATTAGATCGGGTAGTAAGTTACTTGATGGTAATGCCATGGCAGTGTTTTGACACACACTGTAGTATCATATTGTATATGTAAAGAGTGTGTAAATTTGCATATTGCAATGGTTTGATTGGATGTATGTATGGTTCTGTATTATTAAACAAAAACTGAAAAGTGTGGATGGTTATGTTTGGTGGAATGTTTGGAAGGTGCACATGTTGATGGGGAGCCAGATTTATTCACTGTCAAGTAATAAAATGTTTTATGCTGTCAATACCTGCACAGTAATGGCACAAAAAAATTGATGGTTGATCCTTGAAAGATGACTCACTTTCCCATGTTGCTTATAATGCCTAAAGTGCAGGACAGAGTACTGAGAAAATTTCAGCATTAGGATTTTCTTCATACTCTAACTAACTTAGTATTTATACACTCTTGACGTTTTCTCCTTTCAACAATACAAGTTGTTTTGACTAAGCTATTTCTGGGTGATGAGTTTAATTCTATGTAAAATGTTTGGCATAATTTTCATCAGAAAATCATTATTTTCCCTAATAATTAATACTGAGAGGTAAAGAAAGTGAAAAGAAAGCTTTCCTTGTTACGAGCTACAGGAATATCCTTCATTCCCAGACAGTGTATCTTTGGTTCAGAATTATTTCCTGAAAGAGACGGTTGCTCTTGTTGAGGGTGTGCAGAATCTAATAGACAAAAAGTAAGCCAGGTGCTCCCTTTAAAACTAGTGCAGCAATACATGTATATATATATATACCAATGGGGTTCCATATTCCAACTGGGGTAACAGGGGATTGAGCTGTCCCTGTTTCAGAAAGCATGAAAAAAGCTTTAAGTTAATAATACTTGATTGTATGCAACAGGTGCTCAAGATGGTAAATCCCAGCATACGTCCGCGTGGGACCTGCGACTGTGAGGAGGCAGTCGCCTTCCACGTCGACAGTGTACAACAGTTCTTAAAGACCGCCTGCCCCGATGCAGCAGCAACTGTAAGAAGTGCAATAAGGAAGAATGGTGGGTGCAGAAGTGTAAAAACCATATTCGCGGATGACGGCCATCCCTCCAGCAGCAGGGTGCAGTCCAAGTACGCTACACGTAGCCGATGTGCCCCGCACATCAGCTACGGCAGCATTGACACAGTCACTCTCAAGACATTTCTGGACTGTAAGTACTGTGACCATAACATATTTCTGTGGATATTTAGAGTATATAATTGAGGTTTTAATTGCAGCACGAGAATTGCTGGTAAATCTGTTCATAAAATCCACGACAAAAAAGCAAGCCAATAAATTTCTTTCTATAATCAATTACAGACATGGACAACGCAGCCTCAAGCCGGGATGACAATGCAGCCTCAAGCCGGGATGACAATGCAGCCTCAAGCCGGGATGACAATGCAGCCTCAAGCCGGGATGACAACGCAGCCTCAAGCCGGGATGACAACGCAGCCTCAAGCCGGGATGACAATGCAGCCTCAAGCCGGGATGACAACGCAGCCTCAAGCCGGGATGACAACGCTGTCAAGGGCCAAGATGACATCGCCAGAAGGTCAAGCAAGAGGAAGAGGACGCTCACAGAGAAGGTGAGATTGCATTCATTCTTTATTTTCCTTTGGGTAGGTAACTGTTACTTGTCAAATCGTAAACAAGAGACATCAAAGAAGGTAATTACGTACAAAATCTATACATCATCATCTAATCTTTGTGCTGTTCATTCCTAAATGATGTACTGCAAATCATACAACTGTTACATCTTTTTAATAACTTAAGAATTTTCTGTACATAGTAGTCTTATTTTGCAATATCAGCATCACACTTGATATATGCAAGTGTCTCTTTCCATATGGTCAGATACTAATCATGCATTACAAAAGTCGTTACACAAACACTTAGTAATTGCTAGATATCCCTTTTTTGTTCAGCTTATAATAGTTGGTATTTGATTTTAAAGCACTTATTGATAAGTGATAATTGTTATGGTCTTGGTGCCCAAACTTATGTTGATCTTTATCCTTAACAGGCTGCTCAGTCTTGGAAAGTGAAGAAGAAGTAGCGTGATTTAGGTAACAAGTAGTCGACGACTAAGGCAACAACGGAGTGCGAAATGAGAGCAGAAGTTTTAATGCATCATTCGCGGAGAACGTACAATGGCGGACAAAGGGCCGCTCCACGAGGTGTCCTCTAGTAGGGTCATGACCTTTAAGGTCAACTCAATCTAATAACCTAGTGTCAACATAACATAGTGACAAAGGAACAGAGATGGAGTTACATGACTTAGTAACATCTATAATTGTAGGAATATGAATGGTTTATTTGACATTTTGTCCAGACGTATCACACTTGCAGTTCTAAGACTGAATTTTGGTGATAGTATTAGGTTGTTCAAACACCTTCTTTTAATTTACAGTATATAACTTATCGTTAAAAGATATAATAACACTAAAGCACCGACAAAATATACAAAATATGATTAAAAACTGGTACAATATATTTTAAGTTAATAGCTACACATTCGTACATTGTAATAAACTCGAATATGAAATTACTAAACTTTACGACAGATAACTTATTACATTTAATCGGGTTTGTATACGTGAACAAGGGGAAAGTTGAAAAGAATTGGCATTAGGTATCATGCTCATTCAGAAGGGATGTCATATATGGGATAGGGCTTTTTTGATATCTATCTGTATGTGCTTTTACAGAGTCAAGTAGGTGTGATGATCTAGTAGTTTTGGCGCCGATCTCACTGCGGTATGGGGGGTAGCCAGTCTCTGAAAGTCTCCGACTTCAGCAGGCGTGTAGCGAACTTGTAGCACAGCTGGCGGCGGCGGCTTTCCAGGGTGGGCAGTTCGAGTAGTTTGCATGCTTCACTATAAGAAGTGTGAGCAGGCCCAGTATTGTATCAAGGAATATGTATATCTTTTGATTTTGAGAATCAAATAAATACATGTAGTTGGTCTACACATCTGTGTGTGAGTTTTTAATCCCTTACAGAGGTACTGACAGCCTGAAAAAACTGCCTGATCTCCTGCTTTCTCCTGTATTCTCCTGCTTTCTCCCGGTTTCTCCTGTGTTCTCCTGGTTTCTCCTGTGTTCTCCTGGTTTCTCCTGTGTTCTCCTGCTTTCTCCTGTGTTCTCCTGGTTTCTCCTGTATTCTCCTGCTTTCTCCTGGTTTCTCCTGCTTTCTCCTGTATTCTGCTGCATTCTCCTGTGTTCTCCTGTGTTCTCCTGCTTTCTCCTGGTTTCTCCTGCATTCTCCTGCTTTCTCCTGTATTCTCCTGCTTTCTCCTGTGTTCTCCTGGTTTCTCCTGTGTTCTCCTGCTTTCTCCTGTGTTCTCCTGCTTTCTCCTGTGTTCTGCCGCTTTCTCCTGCTTTCTCCTGTGTTCTCCTGCTTTCTCCTGTGTTCTCCTGGTTTCTCCTGTGTTCTCCTGCTTTCTCCTGTGTTCTCCTGTATTCTCCTGCTTTCTCCTGTGTTCTCCTGTGTTCTCCTGTGTTCTCCTGCTTTCTCCTGTGTTCTCCTGGTTTCTCCTGGTTCTCCTGGTTTCTCCTGGATTCTCCTGTGTTCTCCTGCTTTCTCCTGTGTTCTCCTGGTTTCTCCCTGTTTCTCCTGTGTTCTCCTGGTTTCTCCTGTATTCTCCTGCATTCTCCTGTGTTCTCCTACTTTCTTCTGTGTTCTGCCGCTTTCTCCTGTGTTCTGCCGCTTTCTCCTGGTTTCTCTTGTGTTCTCCTGCTTTCTCCTGTGTTCTCCTGTTTTCTCCTGTGTTCTCCTGCTTTCTCCTGTGTTCTCCTGGTTTCTCCTGTATTCTCCTGCTTTCTCCTATATTCTCCTGGTTTCTCCTGTGTTCTCCTGCTTTCTCCTGCTTTCTCCTGTGTTCTCCTGGTTTCTCCTGGTTTCTCCTGTGTTCTCCTGCTTTCTCCTGTGTTCTCCTGGTTTCTCCTGTATTCTCCTGCTTTCTCCTGGTTTCTCCTGCTTTCTCCTGTATTCTGCTGCATTCTCCTGTGTTCTCCTGTGTTCTCCTGCTTTCTCCTGGTTTCTCCTGCTTTCTCCTGGTTTCTCCTGCTTTCTCCTGTATTCTGCTGCATTCTCCTGTGTTCTCCTGGTTTCTCCTGGTTTCTCCTGCTTTCTCCTGTGTTCTCCTGCTTTCTCCTGTGTTCTGCCGCTTTCTCCTGCTTTCTCCTGTGTTCTCCTGCTTTCTCCTGTGTTCTCCTGGTTCCTCCTGTGTTCTCCTGGTTTCTCCTGCTTTCTCCTGTGTTCTTCTGTGTTCTCCTGTGTTCTCCTGCTTTCTCCTGTGTTCTCCTGGTTTCTCCTGGTTTCTCCTGTGTTCTCCTGCTTTCTCCTGTGTTCTCCTGGTTTCTCCTGTATTCTCCTGCTTTCTCCTGGTTTCTCCTGCTTTCTCCTGTATTCTGCTGCATTCTCCTGTGTTCTCCTGTGTTCTCCTGCTTTCTCCTGGTTTCTCCTGCATTCTCCTGCTTTCTCCTGGTTTCTCCTGCTTTCTCCTGTATTCTGCTGCATTCTCCTGTGTTCTCCTGGTTTCTCCTGGTTTCTCCTGCATTCTCCTGTGTTCTCCTGCTTTCTCCTGCTTTCTCCTGTGTTCTGCCGCTTTCTCCTGCTTTCTCCTGCTTTCTCCTGTGTTCTGTCCGCTTTCTCCTGCTTTCTCCTGGTTCTCTGCTTCTCGTGTTCTCCTGTTCTCCTGTGTTCTCCTGGTTTCTCCTGGTTTCTCCTGGTTTTTCCTGTGTTCTCCTGCTTTTTTCTGCTTTCTCCTGTATTCTCCTGTGTTCTCCTGGTTTCTCCTGCATTCTCCTGTGTTCTCCTACTTTCTCCCGTGTTCTCCTGCTTTCTCCTGTATTCTCTTGCTTTCTCCTGTATTCCCCAGCTTTCTCCTGTATTCTTCCGCTTTCTCCTATATTTTCTAGCTTTTTCTTGCTTTCTCCTTCTTTCTTTTCTATTCTCCCGATTTCTACTGCTTTTTCCTAGTTTCTCCTAGTTTCTTCCGCATTATTATATATCTGCATGATATTTGCAGACATTGCTGTTTAAGGAGTCTAATTTACATACTCGGGACAAGATAAATGGTCCCTTTACCGGCTAA